CCCCCAGACACCCCCGTCACCCCCGGCCCCCGGCCCCGACGCCGAGGAGAGAGAGGAACGGCGGCTCGAACTCACTGCCCAGCTTCAGGTTTCCGAAACCGGCGGAGCCCGACCCCGAGGCCTGCGAAGCCCCGGACTTTCCTCCGGCGTTCACCCCGGCAGCGCCCGATCCGGCAGCGGCTGAGCCGGCTCCAGGTGCCCCCGGCGGCTCGGCGAACGAGCTGGTCCTGGGCCGCCCGCTGCCGCTCATGTCTTTGTGTGAGGGTGTCGGGGCAGGGGAGGTCGGGGTTCGCTGGATGGGGCCAGGCGGGCGGCGGGTGTCCTTATTTTCTTTTTGTCTTTAAAAATCCTCCACGGAGAGAGACAGCATTTAAACCGTTTCGCCGAGCGCCGCACTGCTCGCTCGCTCTCTCTCTCTCTCCCCCCCGTCTCTGTCTGGGCTACTACAGATCTGACGCAGGGCGACGCACCGGCTGGCCGCTTTGCCTCCTGGGAAATGGAGTTCCTCGGCAGGGCACCGCCGCCGGATTGCAGCGGCCGGTCCCGGCCAGAAGAACTACAACGACCAGGCACCCGTTTCCTTACTCGGACGGGGCTCGAGCTCGGCTCGGATTTGAATACAAAAGGAAATATCAGCAGGGTTGGGAGGGGGGAAGAAGCGTTTGAGGACTACAGATACCAGACATCCGAGGAGCTACCTTTGTTGTTTGTTTGTTTTTTTTACCCAAAGGTATCTTTCATTTTCGAGTGGAGAAATAAGCTGCAGAAATCGCAGTCCTCTGTCGACACAGATGAATCATGGGAAAACGAGATCTCCTTTGAAAACGAATAAAAATGAACATGTCAATCAGACTGCGTGTAGTTACATTTCTGTGTTTCTTTGATATAATGCTCTGCATAGAGTTTGAAACTTTCCTTCAGAAATTTCTTTATTTCAGTCTCAACACAGACCTTTCTGATCTTTTATTGAATTGTCTTGCTCTTTCTGTATTAAACCCGTTCGATCCTTCGGAGAGGCTGTTTCGTTGATTCCCCCCTCTTTCCCCTTTCTTTCCTCCTCACTCACTTTTATAAGCTGTCCCGCTTGGCTTGTTGTCGCTTCCTTGACTTTTTCAGCGGCTTCATGGCGGCGGCGGCCCCGAGCCCGCCCCCCGGCCGTGACGTCACCCGCAAGCCCCTTATCCGCCCCGCAGGGGCCCCGCTCGCGGAGAGTGGCGGCCGGCCCGTCCAATCAGCGTCCTCTCCTGCGTCACACGGCCGGGGAGCGGGGCGGGCGGCTGGCGAGACGCGAGGGAGCAGGACGCGGCAAATGTCGGGTTTCTGGGATCCGGGGTGTGTTTATTTCGGGTTTTCGACACCGCCCGGAGGAGACGGGCCAGCACCGGGTCGTCGCGACCGAGGAAGAGCCCCCGAGCCGCCCCGCCAGGAGCGCAGGAGGCCGGACCCAGCGACGGGCGCTGAGGTAAGATGGAGGGACCGGGGGAGGAGGGAAGGCTCGGTCTGGCCTGGCCGCCGCCGAGCTGCGGGGAAAAAGGAGAGCGCCGCCTCACGACGGACAGGCTCCGGGGTCCACCGCGGCCGGCCCGCAGAGCCCAGCCTGCAGGATCCCGGAGAGCGCCGCCAGCGGCGAGCGGCCGGCACTGCTGCTGGCGGAGAGGCGGCTGAGCCGGGG